GTGAAAAAATAACAGGTGCAAAAATTTTAAGCTAGGGTACGACGAATAAACACAATTGTTGGGTATAAAACTTTGCAACTTTTGGGATCATTAACAAATATAACCAGTTAGATGACATAACGGGAACAATCTCATCCATTAGATTAAAACGATGATCTCAGCAATCATATAAAGTGGGTTTGGGAATTCACGAAAAGGTAATAACAATTAATACCTTTAGATAATAATGGCTAAGCAAATTTAAAGTCAAATAGGATTGGAAAAACAAAATTTGAAGAAACAATTGTTTCAGGAAAATAAATTTGTAAATAAATTAAAACAAAACAATCAAGATGTAGAATATTTATATATGGAATGAAAGAGTGTGATTGTGAAACATTGCATAGATTAAATTACAGGGGTATTTTTATTAAAAGATACATCTTTTTAAAAAGACACAATTAAAAGACACATCCTTTTATAAAGACACATTTTTTGCTTTTATATATATTGAGATTAAACAATAACCTTTAGATCAAATGAAAAACAATCTGAACCGTTAGATTCAAAAGATGACATCAGCAGTACACAAAAAGTGGGTTTGCTATTATATATAGATATTTTTACAAAAAAATCACAAAAACTAAAACTAAAATTTAACATTCAAAATTTTAATTTCAAACAAAACTTTAAATTATAAATATTAAAACTCTACGCCTAAACACTATCTCCTAAATTTAAAATAATAAACTCAAAACCAGAAACGAATTTGACCAAAATCAAAAAGAGTTTTTATTTTGTAGCTAAACATATGAAGAAGATCTATATAATATTTTCTAACCATGACAAAAAAGAAAAAGATAAAAATAAATAATTAGTTTGGGTGTAATATCCAAAAGGCAAAAATCAAATCTTGAAATGCCCTGAACTGAACATGAACACTCTTCCCGTCGTCTCCCTCCTCACACCTTCTTCTTCTTCTTCCTTCAAATTCTTCCATTTCCCTTCTTCACACCGTTCTCTCTCTCCTTCCTCAAACTTCTCCTTCACCAAATCCCTAATCTTCACTCCACGACAACTTCTCTCCCTCAAAACCTCCTTGAATTCTCTCTCACCGTCGCAGTCTCAGCTCTCTGAGGAGTACGAGGAGGAAGAAGAGGATGATGAAGAAGATGAAGAAGACGAAGAATACGACGATGATGACGAAGCCGCGGATGAGTACGACAATATCTCCGACGAAATTCGGAACAGCGACGACGATGAAACCGAGTATCCGTTGGATTTGCCGGCGGAAGAGTCGTCTCGGGAACGAGTGGAGTTTAGGTGGCAGAGAGTTGAGAAGCTTCGTAGTCTTGTTCGTGATTTTGGAGTCGAGATGATTGATATCGATGAACTCATTTCAATCTACGATTTTCGAATCGACAAGTTTCAGGTTTTGCTTTATGTGTATCTTAAAGTTCCAGTTTTTGAAATTAGAGGTTTTTGAAAAATCTGAACTTTGAATCATTTTGGTGACAGAGATTGGCTATTGAAGCTTTTCTTAGAGGTTCCTCTGTTGTGGTTTCCGCTCCCACGAGTAGTGGGAAGACTTTGATTGCTGAAGCAGCAGCTGTTGCTACGGTGGCTCGAGGTCGACGTTTGTTCTACACTACACCTCTTAAAGCACTCTCTAATCAGAAGTTTCGTGAGTTTAAGGAGACGTTTGGCGAAGATAATGTTGGTCTTCTCACTGGTGACTCTGCCGTTAACAAAGATGCTCAGATTGTGATCATGACTACAGAGATTCTCCGCAACATGTTGTATCAAAGGTATTCCAAACTGCAGCTCTATCTGTATCTATCTGGCCTGCTCAGGAGCTCGTTTTAACACTGAATTTTGGAATCTTTAGTGTTGGAATGGCTTCTTCAGGAACTGGACTTTTTCATGTTGATGCAATCGTTTTAGATGAGGTTCATTATTTAAGTGACATCTCTAGGGGAACTGTGTGGGAAGAGATAGTGAGTTTTTTTCCCCCTGTTTATCCTCTTTGAAAGGCTTTATCAGTTGAATATCTAAGTCGTTTTCTGTTTTTAATACAACCAGGTCATTTATTGCCCAAAGGAGGTTCAACTTATTTGCCTATCAGCTACAGTTGCAAACCCAGATGAATTAGCTGGTTGGATTGGTGAGGTGAGTTTGTAGACATTTTCCTTATGAGAGTGCATTGCAGTTTTTCATTATCATGTTCCTATCATAAGCAGTTATAACAAAGTACCAGATGCCATGTTCACTGTCTCGTTTATCTTCTATTCTTAAGCAACATAAATAATGTTTTGCTGATGAAGTATCTCAGTTTCTCGTAAACTACTACTAGGTAGCAATCCTTATATTCTTTAGCTTCTGTGTTTTATTTTCAGATACATGGTAAAACTGAGTTGGTAACCTCGACAAGACGCCCAGTTCCATTAACTTGGTACTTCTCAACAAAACATTCTTTAGTACCTCTGCTTGATGAGAGAGGGACAAACGTGAATAGGTAAGTTTTTCAACTCTGTACTATATCCTCAACAGTATTGTAGAATAATTCCCGTTGATAACAATTGGAGGAGGCTTTGTTAATTGGAGCAGGAAGCTGTCTCTCAATTATTTGCAACTGTCTGCGTCAGAAGCTAGATTCCGTGATGATGATGATGCATATAGGAAAAGGAGGTCAAAAAAACGAGGAGGTGATACCAGCTACAACAATTCTGTGAACGTTACTGATTATCCTCTTTCAAAGAATGAGATAAACAAGATTCGCCGATCACAGGTCTTACGTTTTACTTTTTAACAGACTAGGCATTTGTCGTTTCTTATCATATTCAAATATGATTTTTAACTTCTCATGATAATTTAATGACGGTGCTGAGTCTTGACTTCTAGGTACCTCAAATTAGCGACACATTATGGCATCTCCAGGGAAAAGATATGTTACCAGCAATATGGTTCATTTTTAACCGTAGAGGATGTGATGCAGCTATACAGTATGTTGAAAATTTTCAGCTTTTAGATGATTGCGAGAAGAGTGAGGTTGAGTTAGCCTTGAAGAAGTTTCGCGTTCTATATCCAGATGCAGTGAGAGAGAGTGCAGAGAAAGGACTGCTTAGGGGAATCGCTGCTCATCATGCAGGTTGTCTACCTCTTTGGAAATCTTTCATTGAGGAACTGTTTCAGCGAGGACTTGTTAAGGTGGTCTTTGCTACTGAGACACTTGCCGCTGGAATAAACATGCCAGCTAGAACGGCTGTTATTTCGTCTCTATCAAAAAAGGCTGGTAATGAACGAATACAGTTGGGTCCTAACGAATTGTTCCAGATGGCTGGGCGTGCTGGACGTAGAGGCATTGATGATAAGGGCTACACTGTGCTGGTGCAGACTGCTTTTGAAGGCGCCGAAGAGTGCTGCAAGCTTGTTTTTTCTGGAGTTAAACCTCTCGTGTCACAGTTTACTGCTTCATATGGCATGGTGCTGAATCTGGTAGCTGGTTCTAAAGTTACTCGTAAATCAAGTGGAACTGATGACGGGAAAGTCTTACAAGCAGGGAGAAGTCTCGAAGAAGCCAAGAAATTAGTTGAGAAGAGTTTTGGAAACTATGTGAGCAGCAATGTGCTGGTTGCTGCAAAGGAGGAACTTGCTGAAATTGACAAGAAGATCGAGATTCTGTCATCTGAAGTAAGCGATGAAGCAATAGATAAGAAAAGTAGGAAACTTCTCTCGGCGAGGGACTACAAGGAGATCACTGTACTGAAGGAAGAGCTGGCGGAGGAGAAACGCAAGCGTGCTGAAATACGAAGAAGGATGGAACTCGAAAGGTTCTCCGCGCTAAAACCTCTTTTAAAAGGGATGGAAGAGGGTAACTTACCATTTATTTGTTTGGAGTTCAAGGACTCTGAAGGGATGCAGCAGTCAGTCCCTGCTGTTTACTTAGGACATATCGATTCATTTCAAGGTTCCAAACTTCAGAAGATGATGTCTTTGGATGAGTCTTTTGCGTTGAACGTAATTGAGGATGAGCTGGTGGAAAATGAACCTGGAAAGCCTATTGTTAACCCATCTTACTATGTGGCCCTTGGCTCTGATAACTCATGGTATCTCTTTACCGAAAAGTGGATAAGGACTGTCTACAGAACTGGTTTCCCTAACATTGCTCTAGCGCTTGGAGATGCTTTGCCTCGGGAAATCATGAAGACTCTCCTGGATAAAGCAGATATGCAGTGGGATAAACTAGCTGAATCCGAGCTCGGAAGTTTGTGGAGATTGGAAGGATCTCTTGAGACATGGTCCTGGAGTTTAAACGTGCCTGTTCTAAGCAGCCTTTCTGAAGAAGAAGAGGTCTTACATATGTCCCAAGAGTATGATAATGCTGCGGAACAGTACAGGGAACAAAGGAGGAAAATATTTCGTTTAAAGAAGAAGATGGCTAGGTCATCAGGGTTCAGAGAATATAAGAAAATTCTAGAGAATGCTAATCTGACGGTTGAGAAGATGAAGCGGCTCAAGGCGAGATCCAGACGCCTCATAAACCGTTTAGAGCAGATTGAACCGTCTGGTTGGAAAGATTTCATGCGCATAAGCAATGTGATCCACGAAAGCAGAGCACTCGACATTAACACACACCTGATATTTCCTCTGGGAGAAACAGCTGCTGCAATCAGAGGAGAAAACGAGCTCTGGCTTGCAATGGTGCTCCGGAACAAAGCCCTTGTGGATCTCAAGCCTCCTCAGTTAGCTGGTGTATGTGCAAGTTTAGTTTCAGAGGGCATAAAAGTTCGACCTTGGAGAGACAACAACTATATTTACGAGCCATCTGATACAGTAGTAGACATGGTTAATTTCTTAGAAGAACAGAGAAGCTCTCTTATAAAGCTTCAAGAGAAGTACGAGGTTATGATTCCATGTTGTTTGGACGTTCAGTTCTCTGGTATGGTTGAAGCTTGGGCTTCTGGATTAAGTTGGAAAGAAATGATGATGGAATGTGCAATGGACGAAGGCGATCTTGCTCGACTGTTACGACGCACCATTGATCTCTTGGCTCAGATTCCTAAGTTGCCTGATATTGACCCGGTCCTGCAACGTAGTGCAGCAGCTGCAGCAGACATCATGGACCGTCCACCAATCAGTGAGCTTGCCGGTTGAAGAGGCCTCAGTTAGCTCGGTCTTTAGTGACCCATTGGGAAAATAACATTAGAGCCTGTGATGTTCAAGAAGTGCATATGTAAGAATTGCTCATTGGCAAAATAAGCTTAGAGCCTGGGATGTGCAAGAAGTGCATATGTATGAATTGGTGATACAAGAACAAATTTTGCATTCAGGTGATTAATGTTGGAAAGAATAGGAGAAAAAAAAAGAAGAAATTTGAGTTAATGTTACAACATGCAAAATGCTTATATACACAATTATGGGAAACAAGGCTTTGAAGGCTTGGGCAGTTAATCCTTTCAGTATTTCTTCGTTTATCTCCTCCCTCCCTTTTTATTTTCTGTGAGAATACTACAGGGACTAGAGGCAGCAACAGAAGTGAGAGCCATCTCATATTTCTTGTCTTCTGACAAAGCTCAATGCTGAGTATAACAAGCAGAGAATGACAACCTTTTTTCTCTCAAAAAGTGTGAAGTTACTCTATTCATGAGCGTTCTCTGGTGGTAAATGACAGATGTCATTGGCTGGTGAGAAGTTTTTGGTATCTTTGTGTTCTCCTTTGCCTAATCAAAGAACCGTTGCAAACAGAGTCCTGTCCGAGGGGTAAACCGATTTGGTTCAAAACTTTACTCCTCTTAGGACGATGCAACACATCTTCTGTATCTAGTACATAAGATACCTGAAGGAAATACCAGACAATTATTTTTAAAAAGACAAGCTTAAAGTCGTTATCATGGAAACTCAGTGGGAAATAGTCACTGTACCTTTGAAGAACTACATGTTATCTTACATTCCAAACCGTTAATAACCTTAACTTCATCCGTGGTGCAGAGTTCATTGTCACCACCATTTTTACGCTTATTCCTGGGAAGAAAAAGAAAAAAGAGTTCATCTGATTAGTGTCCTCGTTAGTTTTAAGAAGATGAAATAGTCCTTAGTTAATCTTCTTGACTTACCGTCTTAAATAAATTTGAGGATTCTCTTTCACATTAGGTTGATTGGAAAGGAACACATTTTGGAGGTAAGTGGCAAAAGTCGGGTCCATGGATATGGATGTCACATCGGGCTTATCATGTCCGCAGTCCAGAAGCTGTATAGAGAGTTTGGCTGGTGTTGATAGGTTCTGCAGAGATAAAATGCAAGAAGATACATATCATATAAGTTCCTCGGTCATAAGCATGCTTCACCCAAACTGTGCAAGGGTAAGTAATTCTTACACATTCAATGCGGTATATATCCTCATCTGGAAGAAGAACACGTGCATTTTCATAATAAACAGCATCAAGAAACTTTTCAGGCTTTCTGGATTTCTCATAAGCATATAACTGTTGTAATTTGTTGTCCATCTCATCAGCTGCTACTACCTGGAGCTGGAAGATCACACTGGTTAGTTAAACCACAAATGAAGAAAAAAAAAGAGATAAAAAATGTCATCCAAAAGGAAAACCTACATGCTTGATGAGCTTATATATTAGTTTGTCCAATGTGAAAAGAACATATGACTGTGTCCCAATTATTGCTCGGCAATCATCTTCAAACTTTGAATTATCGGATGTACCATCAAGCAAATTGTAGAGAGCATTCATGAATCTGTTCCAAAACCGAAACTAGTGTAAGCAGCATCACATATACTGTAGCAATTGCATAGACGAATTGAAAGGGACTTAGGGTAAGTCACCTGGCATATGAATCAGCGGGGTTAGTAGAACTTGAGGTCTTCCACTTTCTTTCTGGAGATGATGAGTTGATTTTTGCTGACAGCACTCTGTCATACAAAATCTGTATAGAGAGTAACCGCAAAAGTCAGCCTCACGAAAGATTCCAGCCTCGTTGATTTGCAGACTGAAATATGATATGTTTTACCTGATGAAGCCTGAAAAGAACATAAAAAGAATCGTTCCCATAAAAGACTTCGGAGTTCTTTCGAGAATCATCTTTGTCCTTATCGCGCAAAGCTGGAGGGACATACTTTGCAAGGGGTCTCACATGCAGCAGGTTTCTTACTGAAATGGACAACACAGACCTATCTCCTCCAGCACCATCATGGGCATCAGACATACCTTCTTCAGCCTCTCCTTCACTTTCTGCTTTATTATTATGGTCCATATCATCCTCCTGATAACAGTCTTCACCATCACCTGAGTCAGTTCCAGAAACATCACCGTTCTGAGATGTGTTTCCACTGCCATCTGATGATCTTTGGGCGCTTGCATTACCTTCATCATCTGCATTATCATCATTCTCCTTACGTTTGCTGAGAGCCTCCAATTCATTCTCTCCATGAACTGCAAAATTATCTTCTTCAAACTCTCCTGTTGGGGAAAGTTCACCCTCCTCTCTTTCGATTTTGGTTTGCTCAGAGACCCCTTCGTTACATCTTTGATTATTTGATATTTCTGCCAATGTCCCATTTGGAATAACTCTGTTATCACCAATCTGTGGAATAAGTAAGTAGCATATCATTTTCTTAATATACCCAGGACTAAGGATATTATCATCTAAATAATTTTAATTTCTAAGCAGTGGTGTAAAGAGTAGGGAAGATCGTTTCAGATCAACATTTCAATATTTGCAAGATACAAGGATTACATAAGTTCTGTTGCGCAACAATACCTCTAACCGTGGGCCATTCACGTGATTCTGCTTCAACTCCATCTCCATCCCACTGGTTAAAGCACTAGGCTTGGGAATACTATTGCTAAGCCCTGGTCATGTAAAAGAGGAAAGGATACAATTCATCTAAAAACGAGAAAATTTCCAAGAGTACTCTTATCAAGCAAAGTTAAAAGTGCTTACCGGCAATGGACAAAATGTTGTTTTTTCCATTCCTTGGTAGCAATCCATCCACAGGCGGTGCATTTGAGATATGCGAACGTTCAATAGAAACAACTTGTTTGGTTTCGGTTTTGTCGTCAGGTTTAGTAAGATTTTTCGGCATTTTATCATTTTGAGTACTGTCACATAATAATAAGGCATCTGAGGTCTTACAAGAAGTGACATCTTTATCCACATCACTAGCTTGCCGCACTTGATTACTTTCATTGAATTTTCGAGGGCCATTTGACCGCATAGAGTTGGCAACACTAGCTCCATTTTGAGGACTGCCCTCGCTTGCACTACCACATTTTGAATTCTGGTTTGTAGACTTGACAGCATCTTCTCGGTCTTCAGCACCTTGAGGGCGACAAGGAACCCCAAATAGTGGTTCCAAAAATTCTGTCCATACCTTCATTACCTTATCTAACTGTTCTGTTGAACACATTTCTCCACATGAATACTTAATCAGCTGATACAGATCTTCGTGAAGATCAGGATCCGGATAATCAAAACTCATATTGGAAGATATAGATCGTCTATTTCCAGCTGCAAGAGCAAGAAGTGCATCATCTTCTGCTCGCTTCTTTTCAGAGATCTCTTTTATCTCTGCCAGCAACGCTGCAGTGAAAGATAGTAGAACATAAGAACTTCATAAATACTTTGTAAGTAGATTTTACTAAGAGAATTTTCTCTTATATTAGAAATGGGTAACGAGAAAAAACCTTTTGTGCTCAGATTCTTTGAATCCTGCTGTTTGAAATAAAAACTGCGATGGTCGAGTGATCTGTGGTAGTTCTTTGTATATATGTCAGCCCAGACTTTGTTAAACTCAGTTCGACACTTTGCCCACTCTTCTTGCTTCTGTTTCAAACGCGTCAGTATTACGGGTAAAGCAAGATAGGCATTCTTCTTTAACAAATCCAACACATCAAGGCCGTGATCACCATATAACCGTTCTATGCATCTTAGGTTCAGAGCTGCAATACAATAACCAAACAAAATACATCAGTTGGAAGAAAAAGACTTAAGAATATCAGCTCTTCTATAAGAGATGAATTCAATATTTATGATGTTGTTATTCAAGGCAGCTTATATGTATACCTGTGAGGTGATCCTCGATACAGATGGGGGTGTCGGTTTTCAATTCATTACTGTTAATTTTTCCCAATAACTCTTCCACTCGATTTGTAGCCGAGACCACGGATTCTAATAACATGTCAAGCTCAAACCTAAAGAACAGAAACAAACAAAAATTTACCAAATCAAAACTGATCCCAGAAAGTGCTCAACAAATAACAGAAGACAGGGAGAACAAATACATCAGATGCCAACATAACATGACACTGATATACACTAATCACTAACCTGTCATCTTCACATTTAAATAGGCTCTCTTCATATTGGTTCTTGCGCATGTGTTTAAATGAATAGTCTTCACTTCCTGAAGTGACGGAGACCCAATGATCATTAAGCACTTGGCTACCAATCTCCATTTTTTGGCTTGCTATAGGAATTGGGTACTGCAGGAAAACAATATATACACATTTAACCAATGAAGCAAAATTAACCAGAGGAAAAGATTTGGCATGATGAACTGTGGCCCCATACATTCTTAGGAAGTAACCGATAACTAGGTGTGCATTGTTCACAGTTTGAGAGATCTAGTTCACTGATAGGTTTAGCCCATTTTTGACTCGCTGCTGCCTTTTCAAGCCTCTCCTTTTCACGGTCTCTTTCTCTATACCTTTGCATTTTCTCACGTTCTCGGTCTGTTTCTATGTCCTGTGACTTGGTAGGTTGAGGACATTTGCCTTCACTCCACAAGGATTCTATAGTCACAGCAATCCAATGGTTAGATTCAATTCAACACGACTGGAGAATCATCAGACCTATGTTACAAAAATAGCTAGACTTACTCTTAGACACAATCCCAGAAAGTAATCCATCTGCAGAAAGAAATACAAAAAGGGTCAAATTTTAACCTTCAACCGGCGAATGTAAGAAGAGAAAGCACAAGTTTGGCTAATTACCATTCTTGTCACACTGTGCCAAAAAGACTCTGAAGGCATCCATAAGGTCTGGATATACTCCAATTAAATTGCTCACCTAATACCAGAAATATATGTGCATGAGTCATTGACAGGAAAATTCCATTAGATTTCTCATAATCTTCCCCAATTTAACCATGCAGTGAGGAAATTTAAGTCAGCATACCAAAGACTGCAACTCTGGTTGGCTTATTATCTCCTTTGAATAGAGATTAAGACATCGTAAGAACTCTTGGTTGTCAGCGTTATCAAGCTTGGCCTTCACTCTATCAACAAAAGCAAGTTCTTGGCTATGACCTATCATCACATTAGTCAATTTAAGAACACGAGACCAGCAGACAATGCAGCATGAACTCTCTCCTAACTATCTCAGTAGTAAGTTACCACACTTAATTATTTAAAGTATAAAATAAGGAAAATGAGAGATCTGCTTTTCGTAGCACCTTTTTCAATATAAGCAGATGAACTAGGAGTGGCTCCAGAAAACTTGTCTCCTTCCCTAGCTTGATTGGACATTTCAGCAGAATCATCATCCCTAAGTGTCAGCTTCTTTTTGTTAAGGAAATGTTCTTTCCTGTCTCTATCATCCATGTAATCATTCTTTTTGTCAATGCGTCTCACTTCTTCTTTACTTTCTTTCAACAAAGATCTCTCATGGTCTATGTCCAGATGTTCAGTTTTGAGGGCACGGTCAGGATGTGAAGTAATGATTCGGTCCTTCTGTAACAATTTCCAAACAAGTGACGCCTCTAAGAACCGAATTTTCGATTGCATAGTAAGTGTAGTGAACAGCTATTTAAGGGAAAAAAGACGGAGAGATTAACCTTATCAAGATCTATTTGACGCATGGTGGGAAGAGACTTAATGCCTCTATCCCGTACTGGCATTTTTACAGGATCATGAGTAGAGGCAGTTGCTGAAGTATCAGGGAGAAAGTGAGTGAACTCCCCAAGCAAATCGTGATGGTCCCGGAAAAGAATAGCCACCTACAAGAACGGCATATCAAACTAGGACAAGAACGGCAACCAAAACAATGAAAAACACTATACCACAAATGGCTACAAACACACACCTCGCGGTAGACCTCAGTAATGGACTTGTTTTCCTTTCTATACATGTTCAAAATGTCTAAAAACGATTTGTATACACGATCATCGCCTTGAAACCTTGTCTGCAAATAAAAATGATAGTAAAGAAGCAAGTAGCAAAAGTGACAAAAAGGGGAAATGCACCACATCACAATTAACTACCTTAATCTTGTTAACAAAACTAATAGCTTCCTCAAACTCAACAGGCTTCTTAGGCGCAGGTTGGTCATCCTCGGGTAAGAGAGTTATCTCGAAACCCTTTGGTAAGAAAGTATTGAACCCCAAAATCAATTCCCGATTCCCCTTGAAAAGTTCTTTCACTCTTAAGATAACACCAGTAGTATCAACCCTACAATGACAAGATAAGATCAGATTTCAAAATCCAACTAATGAGCAGTAAAAACTAAAGCAAACATTATTACCTCTGAGCTTTAAAATCTTTCATAACCTCAAGAAACTCATCGTATTTCTCACGTTTGTCTTGAAATTTATCCTTGACAGCCTTGAGATACGCAAGTGCATCATTTGTAGTTAGCTTCTGTGCACTACTTCCTCCAACCATGGTTTATAATTTGCCAGAGCTCTTTCATCAAACCCGAAAAAAAAATAAAAAAAAATTAGCAGCAAGATAGATCAATCACTGTGCAAAACTCAATTTCACCAAACTAAAGGCTTTGAATTTGGGCAACAAGTCTAGGAATTTGAAGGATTCATGTAAAATTCAGCTACAGAGCAGAAATAAAAATTAATCCTTTTTAATCAACAAACCACATCTCTTAATTCAAGAACAGTTGAAAAAAAACAAAAAACAATCAAAGCAAACAAAATTATTATAAGTATAATCCGAAACCAAAAATCGAAGTAGAAGACAAATCAATCTCAAGTAAAAGGCAGTAGATCTAAGCAAAGAAGAGAACAATCAAAGCAAAATCGAGAAAAGAGTTAAAAAGAAACAATGAACTCGATCTCAAACTTAATCCTCAGATTAAATTCACATTACGGAGCTTCGAGATAAGAATTACCAAATAAAAAAACGCCTCGAGAAACGAAACAGAGAAGCAAAAAGATGATCGTAGTAGAGAGAGTTTACCGAATTGCGCAGCAGAGAGACACAAGTCTACAAGCATAAGCTTTGTTCCTCCTTACCGCACACGGAAACACAACACCACAGCAAAGACAAGACTTTAAACCAAATTTTGCAGAGACACAAACTAAAAAGAAAAAGAAAAACTTCAATATAAGTTAAATATGAAACACATACCAAAGTTCAAAAAAATAAAAATTAGGATTGGTGAAGAAGATGAGAGACTGACTTCTCAAGGTTTTTTTTTTAATTTTTTTTGTTTTTTTTTTTGAACGTGATGATGTTAATGTAATTTCTTTATTGGTTATATTATAAAATCTAGTGTAATAATTATTTAATTAATTCATTAAGACCCGCCTTTTAATTAATTACCAGAAAAAAAAAATACCATTTTTCCTGTTTCTTCATCCTTCACCATATATTACGATTAGAAAACATTTGCAACAAAGAAAAAGAAATATAAAAGATGATATCCAGCAATATACTATATTATTGTTCATAGATTATGGCTATATGTGTATTATAGTAAATACGGTAGAAACATGATGGGGGAAAAAAATAAATTAAAAAATGAAAATACAACTTAGAGACAGCCGTTGCTGATAGGTTGAGTAACCGGTTATAGCCGGTGAGGTTTAACTGTGGGATTAAGGCTCAGAGATTAAGCGATTGGGTACATTTTTAGGGGGTGTTATTCAACCTTGTATTTTAATTGATTTGGATGTATTTCAAAATCTAGCGTTATTTGATAATGTATTTTAAAAACTAAAATAAAATCTGTTGTTATTGGATTTAACATTTGTTGGATGTATTTTAAAGTACTTTAAAACAAGCGTTATTCAATTTTCAATGGATTTTGTTTCATTTAAGATTTTAATGTATTTTACATCTAAAACACGTACAAACACAATCCTAACAGTTTTCAAAGTATTTCATCTCTTTCAGACCAAATCCATCTTAATTGTATTTAAAGGCTATTGAACTTTTAAATCTACCGGTAATTAAAATCCCTTAAAATTCTCCATCCAATAACACCCCCTTATTTTCTTTTGGGTTGGTTTAGGACCTCGCAATTCGGGTTTTTTGTTTTTGTTTTTGTGTAGTGGCAATTTCGTGATTTTTGTGAGATGGTAAGGATATAATATGAATGTTTTTTTTTTCTTTTAACTATCAATGTCAATGTGCTTGAGTTAGTAAATTCGAGGCTTTTCTTATGAATCTAGAAAAAGGATTTTGCGAGCAGTTTCTTTTAAGGTGGCTTTGTTTTTGTTTTACCAAAGAATCTAATAATTTTGATGAGGTTTTTGCTAAATAAGTCTTTTGAATCATGACAAGTTAGGTCAACAAAATACAGAACAGATGTAGATAAATTTAGTAGTGTACATTATTATGTAAAAATGAAGTAAATACTCTGTCAAAAATGGGCATTTGGTCTAGTGGTATGATTCTCGCTTAGGGTGCGAGAGGTCCCGAGTTCAATTCTCGGAATGCCCCTTTCTTTTTCTACAAGTCTTTTAATCTTTTGACTTTCTTTTTAATATTACTTCACCAATCCCAGTTTGCTTATTTGTTGGGCCAATGTGTTGAATTTATTTTTGGGGCGAATTATTGAAAACTGTACCTTCAAAAGGGCCTTACAACATCTCTCTCTCTCAACTTTCCAGTAGAATACTTATTTTTTGGATCACCAACTTTTTTTTTTTTTTTAATTTCCATTTTTCCAAAGGAGCAAACACCTTACAAGCCGGGCCAACCCACAGCACAAGGCCCAAAAAGTTATACGGCCGCCAGACCACCCAGGCATTTAACCCCTTAAATTACAAGGCTTTTGACAGCCAAAACTAGGCATGCAAGCCCAATTACAAGGATCCCAACAATCCAAACATGGCACGCAGGCCTAAAGGAAGGGAGAAAAGAAAGAAGAAAAGCCCAAGAGCCCAAGAGGCCCAAAAGGGGGAAGAGGCGGAGACATGCAAGCACAAGCTGGGATAAACGAACCTGGATCAACTTGCATAAACCAAAAATTTCGAGCAGGGGAAACAATCCTTACCGAGGCTGGAAAACAGAGAACCAAGTGCCCATAAGAGTGATTCCAGGACGCAGTCGAGATAAGACCCTGGAGAGAGGATCAAGTCGGGCTCTAATAATCAATTGGATCTCTTTGATGAGCACCCCAGGAGAGCGAGAACCGTTAGAGTGAATCCTCAAATTCCTTTCCCTCCACACAAGGTAAAGGGTAGCTTGAAAGAGGAGCTTAGTGATGTAAGAAACATGTCTTCGTGGCTGCGTAGAGTTGAGCCACAAAAGACAGTGTATAAAGCTAACCGGAGGATTTAAAGACGCCCTAACCATGAAGTGACGCCAAACCCTCGAGCTGAACTCACATTGGAAAAACAAATGGTCGCGGGATTCATCAACATTGTTGCATAAGACACAAGTGGAAGGGATATTTAGGCCCCAGCCACGCAACCTGTCTCTCGTGTGAAGGCGGTTCCAAGTAGCGACCCAACTTTGGATCACCAACTTTACGAGTTCCTTTATGATACTGTGAGTGCATGAGTGCATCTTTACTCTAAAGTTTATAAGCGGTGGGTACAAGTCACCAATGTTCGAGATTGTAAATAATGTCTTCATATATGATTAGCTAGGAAACGCAGTTCATATATATTATGTAGACCATATAAAATATATATTACTTAGGATATATACTTTTCAATAATTATTTCTATTTCTTGATTTTGGAAGTGATCTAGTATTTCCATTTTTCTATTTCCTCTTCTTTTTTTTTTTTATTGTTGCATGTTTTCACTTTCTTTGGGAAACACCCTTTTACAAACTTAAACATCCTTCGGCTTTGTTTCTAGGGTAAGGGTTAGGTACTAGAGGTTAATATAGCACTTGGGATATTGCAGAGCTGTGTAATTTAATTCAGAAATTAAAGACTTTGTTTTGAGATAATATAATGGAAGTAAATAGTAGAATTAACCTAATTATTCCTTATGAAAAAAAAAATACATAATATGGTCGCTAAAATTAGTAGTGGTATTTGCACTATTGGTGATCCAAAAAAAACCGTTTGCACTTTGGATGTTTCCCAAACACCTTGGCCTTCATCTCCGATCCAGGTTCAAACCTTAAGGTGACTTCACGGCACGCATAGTTTATAACTCCTATCGTCTCCTCTCTGCAATCTGTAAGAGAAAACCGCGATTCGAACTGCACTTCTTTCTGATTTTTTATATCTTCTACAATATTTTTGCCAATAGAACCGCTGATATCTTCATCGGAGACAAGTGCTGAAACCATTAGAAGCTGAGGCCAGCCGGGCTGGAGGTTGTAGTATCTGAATACAGAAGATTTAATTAGTCCGCAAAAACATGTATAATAGAAAGTAGTTATATTATTACACTTACTTTTGTGGGGATGAGGTAGCAAGAGTAACATTCTTGTAAAGCAAGGAAGTTTGAACATCTCCTTGAAGGCATATATAATAACCAGAAAGATCACCAGGGATCCTTATAGATAAATCCCACTTTGCACTAAGACGAGTCTCTGTTATATTAAGGACCGTGAAATCCATAGAAGATAAATTCATATCCTGTGACGGAGGCCGCGGTATGGTATCCCAAACGACAAAAGCTATCATACCAATAAAAGACAGGATACCAAGGAGACAACACGTACAGCAAATCACATGACTCATACTGTGCGCGCGATTGTGCTAATAGAGGACGAGGAAGATTTTTCTGAGCTAGCGGGAGACTAAAGCTGAGAGAGTTGGAGGTTGTATATATATAATGCATGTTTATATAGTTAAGGAAGGAGTTATATATATACACATATGATAGATATTCTTTAGGCTATAGTATTTTACTTTTTTCTATCTTTTTTTTTCTTCTCTTGGGCAAATTTCTATTTCTTTCTTTTGGAAGCTTTCTAGTATTTCCATTTTTACGTTTCCTTTTTTCTTTAGAGTGCTTTGATTTGTTAATAAAAGAGACGAGAGCACACGTTTGTGAGACACATGCATCCAAAGAAAGAGCGGTTTTCAGAGGTTTCGCTTAACACATGTACTTCTTTCACTCAACTCCTCTTCATCCTACGGTGTTCAACAAAAAAACTATTCGAAGTACTCAAGTAATTAAAGGCAGAAAGGCTCGACGATTTTTTAGGACATGCGTCTTAAAAACAATATTAATTAAAGAGTTTGAAAATAATAAAGAAATTTTAAATTTTAAATACAAATTTTAAACCAAAACAAAGCACAAATTAAAGAACAAATACAAATGTAACAAGTGCTGCTATGAAGCGCAATATAGTTGTATTTATTTATTTATTTTTCAAGATTCTTTAATACAATTTTTTATAGGATAGCTAGAGACCAAAAATATATATTTATATTTATATTTAAATCACCTATAGCTAGAGAGAAATATTTAAGAGAAGAACTCTTATTAAGAGCAGAATATATTTTTAATAACTTATATTAGAATTATTTTAAGAAATCAGGCTCGGAATTAGGGTTAAATACACTGTCAGACAAATCTCAACAAATAAAAAATTGAAAAATTCATTAAAAAATTTCAAACATATGAAAACATCTAGATGATTAAATAAATCAAAACGTCTTCACCAAAAAAAAAAAGATTGATCCACATCACAAACATATAACAATGTTGTAGAAAAGAAAACGAAAAAATCAATGAATTGGTGATGACATAAACTTTGGTCAAAATAGTGATATGCACTTAGCAAAAATTGAAGTTGTGTAGTATTTTACCATCCGGTTAACAGGATTCAAACCAAGAATAAACCGTTTATCTTCTTTTCAAACAAAAAAAAAAAAAAGTTGTGTAGTATCCATGCATAATATTCAGTTTGAATAGTATAAAACAACTTGTAAAATAGAGAACTAGTTTTACCAATTCAGCAACAAACTAATGATACGGCACATTGATTGAGTCAAGATGGAAGCATATAAAGTGATGGCTCATGGCTCGAACCAAACCAATCATCCATTACGAGGAAGAAACTGATGGAATTCCTCAAGTAAGTCCCGATGGCCTCGAAAAAGGATAGAAACCTGTAAAAATAAGACATACAATCACATCCTTAAATCCAATATGAGCAAAAAAATGAAAGGAAACAAAAAAACATAGCGAAGCACATATTACATATTATATATATACCTCACTGTAGAGCTCAGCTACGCACATGTTCTCCTTTTTATACGAGTTCAAAACGTTTAAAAATGACTCGAATGTTTCAGGATTCTCAAATCTTTTCTATAGATAAACGAAAATATAAGTTAGAAAGAGAGATTCATCTAAATGAAACACACTAGAAAAAGAAAATAAATAAATAAATATAAATATAGCAGTAGAGTAGATCTACATGAAGTAAACCAAATTTATTTCAACTTTAAAATCCTAACAAAATTATGAATATATCTAGTTTTTGGTAGACAAAAAATTAAAAACAATTTTTCCAATCCGATCTGCTAGTCTGATTTTGCAACTACCTTGACCTTGTTGACAAAATTAAATGCATCGTCAAAGTGAGCAATAGACTTGTTTGGTGGGGTTTCGTCATCATTGAGTGTTATCTTGTAACCCATTGGCACGAATGTATTGAAACCTAAGAGTATCTCTGGTTCCCCTTTGAAGAGTTCTTTCACTCTTAAGATGACACCACCAGTATCAACTCTACAATTTTAAAAAATATATAAAGTCATGGAAGAGTAAAAGTAAAACCAATCATTACGAGGAAGAAAAAGACAAATACCTTTCAGCTCGGTAGTCCTTCATGGTCTCAAGAAATTTATCATATATTTCATGGTTATCTATATACTTATCTCTTACAGCTCTGAGGTAATCAAGGGCCTCATTTGTAGTTGGCTTCTTATGCGGAAGCATGATTTCGAAACTAGCAAGAGCTTCATCATCCATAGAAATAAAAGAGAATAAGAGATCAACGTAAAATTTCAAATATTAACAACAATATTACATTGAAGATCAATTGCAATTGCAAGATCCAAAGAATCAAACTCGAAATCATCTCAATTAGGAGCAAAAACACAAACGAACATCAGATTTAGGAACTATGCTAACTTACTTTGTATAAAAGTGAAGAGGATCGATCAATCAAAGATTCATCGATACACAAGTGTAGATGGGCAGTACGTTACCTTTACACGGTAACAGGCAGATACAAAAAGACTTTGAACAATTCCCACACAAAAAAAAAGTCGAAAAGTTTTAGGTTACATGATGGTATTTATAAAGAGACGTAATATTACGTACGTTGAACACAATCTTTTGGTTTACATAACGATTCGATTTTCTCTCTTTTTTTTTTTGGTTTTTTTCCTCTTTTTCTTTTACATACCAAAAAAAAAGAACACTCCTCAATACGTTATATATCCACGATTCAGAATCTATTATAAAGGCACTATTGAGAAAAAGGCTTTTTAAAAAAAAAAAAATCTTTAAATAAGCTAATTCCTTCAAATTATATAATTAAAATACACATCTTCCATAATGTCTTTCACAACCTTACCGTCCAAATCACCAATGGAAGCAATCGATGAAATATTAAGCAATTGAGCCCAATTCAACATCAGATTGTATCTGACCGAACATGAAAACCAAAAAATAAGTGAGCAAAGAAGTTAAAAATATGTAAATAAAAATAAAAACGAGAGTGTAGAAATTAAAATTAATGTGTTACCTCTCAAAGGAAGAATGAGCAATGGTGACACCTTTGTAAAGAATAAAAGTCTGAAAATATCCTTTGAGACACGTATAAAATAACCAGGAAGGTCTGGAGGAATCCTCATGACTAAGTCCCATTTAACACTAAGACTAGTTTCTGCTATATTAAGCACTGTGAAATCCATAGATGGTATTATAATATCCGGGACATAGTCTTCTACACTTGGATTGTATTGTATTGCACGTACGCAGATATAAACGAAGATAGCGATGAAGATAAACAATATGAAGATCATCAGAGACTTATGCAGTTTTGTTTTTTTGTTGTGGTGTAAGTGTAGCACAAAATGTAGATTTGGGAGCTAGTTCTTCGTTTTCATAATCCATTGTAACGTAGAGATAATACTGAGAGAAAAAAAAAAAAAAAAGAGATTTAGGTATCCATTTTTGTTAAGGATTTGGTAGTATATTTTTCTAAGAAGATTTTGATAAGTACATATCTTTTTCTTTAAAAAAAAAAAAAGATTTTAGTAAAAAAAAAATTGCGTCAAAGAGAAATTTTTTTTTGGTTATCTTACCTTTAATATTATGAATTCAAAAATACATCAAATATTGGGAGAGTCAAATACGATCCATACTGAAAATATTATCATTATTATTACATTTTATAGATATTAAAGAAAAATAAATTGTATCATTCCCTTGTATTTTTGGGCATACCGCAGGGTAAAGCTTTCATGATAGAAGACTAAAAGTATATATAAACAAGTTGAAGCATTGCACTTTGAAATACGAATTATTCATCAGATGGAGGAAACTTCTCGAACGATATATAGAGAAACAGGTTCCATTATGTTGGGCTTTAGATTATTTGGATGTGGATCATGTGGATGGGCTTATGATGTGGCCAAGTAATATACATTACATCATTACACAACGGTTCCTAGTCTCTCTTCCAATGTTTGAGTAATGAGTACCATAAAATGATAAAAAGGTTAATTAGGACTTGTTTGGCTACAAATCAAAGAAAAGAAGACTAAAGTATAACTACTGATTATTTATTTTTTTTACTTACCGCCGCATCTCAAATTATAAGTGACCAGTTGTGTATTCCAAAGTATGTTCTAGTGAAGAAGATGACAATTAGAAGCAACTAATCAGCACCTTAATCTTTTCTCGTACTCGATCACGTATCCCAACATATTACATATATTGATATCCTCATCCACCATACGTACATGTGTGTGTGTGTGTGTGATATAATCTATTAATAATCTATATATGTGGAATTATAGAGTCCAACAAATAAAGTTATAAACTCCTTATTAGAGAACATACAAATTAACTAAAATGAAATATATGCTTAAATTATTAACTCAAGACTAAAGTTATACTTTCTTTTGGTTTATATCACTTGCTGAAGATAATGTTGAGACTAAACGTTATTTTTGTTGTTTATATATAATTTTTGTCATATTTCAAATTTCGTTTCCATTGCCTCTTAAATTCTGAAAAAAAAATCTTTGAAAGTCGACGACGCCAATGCTTTTGTGATAAATTTTAATATAAACAACAAAATTAATTTGCATCCCTGCTTAATATATATACAAATTTAATTTTCAGCAAACATTATATTTATAGTTAATCTCAATACCAGTCTTCCACTAAACATTGTATTTATAAGTTTAGTAACTTACTAAATCATTGGTTCCATTAATTCACTCTAAAAAAAAAACATAGAAGACTGGTCTTTACCATTTTTTTTCGTGTTCATGATGTTGTTGGTCGATGCAATCAAGCTCAAAGACTTATTATGCTAAAAAAAAACAAATTATCATTAAATGACCGTTTCGTCGTATACCTTGGACGTACGTAAATAAATTGATCCAAAACTCACAAAAAAAAAAAGCAGCTTTCTCAGCTTTAAATCTCCATATCATTCTATATTTATTCCATAGTTAGTTTGTTAACTACGTGTTTCTCTATCTGATGCTACGATATCTTTCAATTGTTAATTTGCATTTAGTTCACTCCAAAATGATAGTATTAGTTTATTTTGGTGGGTGCATCCTTTGATAGTTTGGTATATTCCCCATCTATGACTATCAGTTTGATCGTACCCTTTGTGAATATGAAAAATATCATCCAAGATTAGAGAAAGAAACACCAAAGTACAGTATACGAAAGAAAATTTCAAATTTTTTAATACAAATCAAGGGTCTTAATTCTAAATATTATAGCTAGTAAGTAATATGCATGATACTCGGTGAGTTATCACTTATATCAGTTTAACGTGCGTCAATTGTTGGACGAACATGTTGGAGGACATCTTTATGAAAAAGGAGAAGAATAAATAAATAAAAAGAAACACTAATTAATATGCACAAAATATTTATAAATAAATAAAATCAAAAGAAACAAAAAAATTTGCATAAATTTTAAAAAGGTTGAGAAGGTGATACATGGGTCCATGTTGTGTTATCTTCACCCAGCATCACTGTCCTCTCCTCACACCACAAATAATATCTTCTTACAATTTTTATATTCTATTTATTTCCCAATATAGATTAGAAAACTCTGAATATAATTGGTAACACTACAAATATCTTTACCATCCAATTTGGTAGCATGATCTTTTCGAATCTGTATTTCCTTATAGTTGCCACCCAAATTTCAGTACCGTATCTAGTATCTTTTCTAATAACAAATATCTATGTTTTTAAAAGAATTTTTATCAAGAAATGTATAGTTTTATTTTATTTTAGATACCATATCAAACCAAAGGCCAAAAGCCCAAAACAAAGAATTCAAAAATGAAATTTAAATTTTAGTTTTAACTAAAACTAAAAAGAAAAATCTATTTTGGTATCTATTCTTCACAATAACAAACTTTAAAAAGAAAACAAAAAATAATAGGATGTGTTTTCATAAATTATTGTAGACAAAAATATAAATCTTGCGCATGGCATACGGATTTTACAAATCACAATGTATGTAGCATGCATCATATTATATATTGTCTTAGAAAGGTTTTCTTGACGGTCGCTTTCTACATGCATGTTAGACAAAGTAGGAAAGTTGTGTCCACATAACTTTGGGGAAAGTTAATCAAATAATACATGTCTCTCAATTGAAACCATACAAACAAAATATGTAGACAATAATTGTGAGTATGTTGATATCTATAGATTATAGGGATTGAATATTATAGTTGGGAACAAATGAATATTGGGTGAGGCCGTGAGGGTCCATGACAAGAAAAGAATGAATGAAGGAAGTAAGTAAGTGACAACCAAATCTTTTTTCAACAAAGAAGAGACCCGAAGATGCCTCCTTCACCGTCCGTTCCTTCACTCCCTTTGTCCTCTCCACCACTCTTTTTCTTTTTTTCTCAACCCATTTGTTGTCTTCTTATTTGATTCTAATACACTCATTACAATTTTGGATCTGGCCATGATAAACTTTTGATCATTTTCAAGAATCACTTTCATTTGTGTACATTTTGTTTCAGATTACTCGGCCGGAAATTTTGTCCAATGATGTATTAGTAGATAGATTTTCAGATTTATTTTGTCGATTTGGTCAATGATTGTTTTGGCATTAAAATCTAAAAAAAAATTTGATGGTTAGTAGATATAATCATATAATAGAAAATGAGATGTATGGAATCTAGTGCACCATACCAAAATGGTTAGAACTCCTTAAATTTATATTAGGCCAAGAGCACAAAGCAAAGGATGATGCAATGGCCTTGCATACATATTTTGAATAGGCATAATCCATTATTGACAAACTAGGAAAGAAAAGACATTTTCCACTAGTTATGTATGGCATCATCGGAGTACTCAAGGGACCAATACTGCTCATCCTTTCCAATTTTGATATGATAAAAATAAGATTCTTTTTTATAAATCAGTGAAAGAAAAAAACAAAATATTATCTAAATATGATTGGAGGCTTTCACATGATATATCACTATCAACCAATCACAATACAGCTTTGCTAGAAGGTCACTTAAGCACGTACACTACAAATATGAACGCTCTATTATTTATTTCTTTACTTATAGTATAGTTTATTGATGACATTTACATTAAATAAACTATATAAGTAATCCATTTGATAAACCATTTACGTATATGAAATCCAAAATGATTAAAAAAAAAAAAATCTTTCTGCAAATTTTAATATATGAAATTGCAGCATGAGTAGGTTTAATTTAAACTAATTTTACATTTTGCTAAAGTAAATTTTGACATGTTCGGCAATTAGGTCCACATACAATGAATGAACTAGATGTGTGATTATGGCAGTCGTAATAATGTAACCACTGTGACAGGAACAGTTAATGCATAAAATAAATTTTGATGTTAGATTACTGAATGACGAACAAGAACAAAACGATAAATTAAAGATTGAAATAATTAGAACGGCCATAGTAATATTTTTACAAGAATTAACCATATTAACAAACGAAACATGTCCCAATACACACACACACAAAAAAAAAAAAAAAAAAGTTTGTCAAAATGCTCCTAGACTATGGGTTAGTGCACTCAAACAGGTCATGTGTACACCAACCATATCAAAATTCAAAAATTTAAGTATATGCTTTTAACCCAAAAAAAGTAAACGCATCGAATCTTTATATTATGATTTTGCTATAATAATGATACAAAATTTTGGGACTAAGTTCAATTCCAAGTGAGGAAAACGTGTCTGTGTCTTCTTGGTAAAACTAACTTTAAAATTTTTTGACACGCATGATGAGTTGCTTATACAATCAGTAATTCCAAATATAAAGCATCTTAATCGCATTTTGATTATTTTAACTCTCTAATAGTCTCTATCAATAATTTGTCACTTACAAAATAATACTCCATAAAAGAAGAAACGAACATCTAATGAAAAAATTGAATAGTCGTAGCTTTTATATTTTAACTGGAAACGAAGATTCTTCAATCTATCATCCACTCAGAGCTACGTGGATGGTCGATATATTGGATTAAACAAAAAAAGTTGTACTATATATATATATATATATATTAGCAATAGAAAACATAGTTAATTATAAGGAAAATGACAAAAATCATTTCTGACCCAATGTAATAAACTATATTTGTGGCCGTTTCGATTTTTTCATGTTTCATCAATTGATATGGGATTTTGATTTATTTTGATAACAAGTTATAAATATCAAATAATTTTTTTATTTCGAATTTATTCATACAATTTAACTGGTGCTTAACATAGAGAATGACCTTTTTGATATTTACATTGATTTAGATTTTTGTTATACATGTGCGTGATCTATTATTTCGAACTTTTTTATTGTTATTTATCGAGTTAAGTATTTGTATACTCACGTAGAGAAATACCAAACAAACATAATTTTAGTGCATGTTAAAACATAACGGTGTTCATAATTTTTCGTTGTTATTTTGGATAGTAATTCTTATAATTATTTGCCAATCATCAAATTCAATCTACAGTCCCATTCATCGATGGTCTAGCTTTCCTCTTTTTGCTTAAGTTTTGGATGCAAAAGTTGTATTGTGTATGCCGAGAAAGTTACAGTAATCTTCTCCGAAACTTCATACACTCGCCGACAAAACAAAAACAAAAAAAACTTCTTCATATCCACTCGGGGGTTCTCGTAACTTGCACTATCGATTCAATAACTACTAGCAGTATTTACAAAAGTCCACGAACCTAACCATTGGCCACAAATGTTGTAATACTTATATACGTAACGACAACGTATCCATATATGTACATGTTATACGAATCATCTTCTTTTTTTTTCTTCAAACGGTCGAAAACTGACCACGATATTGAAACAAACATAATCAGTTTTACAGTGTTAAAATTTTCTATTTTACGCTAATTATTCGGTATACAAATGTGAGGTTTTCGAAACTTTCAATTTATATTTCCATCAGAATCGACAGCAAAATCATTTATTATTTATGTTAATGTCATTCTTACGCAATTAATCAATCCAAATTTTTGTTGGATAACCATTTTTTTCTTCCAATTTAGATTAGGATACATTTTTTAACACAAATATTTTTGGTTTTCTTCTTTTTCTTTTTTGGTTAGTGATTGATTTCGATTTTCCAGCTATATTGTGAGATTGAGCGCGATTAAAATTGGTTGGACAGCTCGTTCATTAAGCTAGTCTAGTAGAGGAGCCTTGTTCTGGATAAAAGGGTTTTAAGAAAAATTATATTGGGTTTAAGAGTAAGCCAACTTTGTAGCTGTTCATAGTTCTTGTTCATATCATCTTTTAAATGTTTTTGATGCAATATCCTTGCATAGAAGTTAATGTTCTACCCATTGTTCACTCCAATTTTTTTAATAAAAATAAATTTGAAGTGTTTAAAATAAATTTTAAAAGTAAAAGAAAAAACAACCCAAAATTTCAAATAAACATAAAAGCTAAAATAAAATCTTAATATATTAACTCGTCTTAGCTTTTTTAGGTTGTCGATACTCGTTAATTATATTGAAGTGGTCTTCTTCAACCACATTTTCCAATCACTTCTCCAAATTATCTCATGCAACCGTTTCTTTGACTGATAACTTTTACTAGATTTGAACTTTAAATCATGTGTTTTGGCGTTACCAAAAGTGATATATGATTTTAAAATCTATATATTTAGAGATTAAATTAAATTTAAAAGGAAAAAACAAAATAAGTTTGCAAATCAATATAAAGGAAAATAAAATAAAATTTGAATGCATTAACTCGTCCTTGCTTTTCTAAGTTGTCGATACTCGCCAATTATTTGAAACCGTCTTCTTCAACCACATTTTCCAATCACTTCTCCAAATTATCTCATGCAACCATTTCTTTGACTGATAACTTTTACTAGATTTGAACTTTAAATCCCGTGTTTTGGCGTTACAAAAAATATATATATTTTAAAATCTATATATTTAGAGTGATTAAATTAAATTTTAAAAGTAAAAACAAAATAAATTTGCAAATCAATATAAAGAAAAACAAAATAAAATTTGAATGCATTAACTCGTCCTTGCTTTTCTAAGTTGTCGATACTCGCCAATTATTTGAAACCGTCTTATGTAACCACATTTTCCAATAGTTTCATGCATCCGTTTCTTTGACCGGAAACTTTTACTGTTTTTGAAATCTAACCGTCGTGGTTGGCGTTACAAAAAAAAAAAGAAGAAGTAGATGAACAGAGAAAAAAAAGGAGATTTCTCTTTATCTTTGGACCAATGAAAAAACAAATTGACAAAAGAAAATAAATGTATTGGACAAAACAGAGTCATTTGAGATTAAAGACACAAAGGGTCAAAGGTTTTTGTGGTGAAGGCTCATAAACAGAACATAAAGGCGGAATCGTCCCTATTTATAAGAAACCTAAACCTCTCTTTTCTTCTCTTCTCTTTACTTTTTTTTCTCCCATCCCAAAATATCTCCCATCAAGTAAGTGTTCTGCTCTCTTTGCTGAGAAGCTCCGATGTCGCGTAGTTGCTCACAGTGTGGAAACAACGGCCATAACTCCCGCACTTGTCCCTCAGAAATAACCACCACCGGCGACAACAACGGCGGCGCCGGAGCGAAAGGCATCATGCTGTTCGGCGTCCGCGTCACGGAAGCTTCACCACCTTCTGTTAGAAAAACTGTGAGTATGAACAATCTCGTTCAACTCGATCAAACTCTTGATTCCAACCCTGTTGAAGACGGTGGTGGCTACGCTTCAGACGACGTCGTTCACGCCTCCGGTAGAAACCGTGAACGCAAACGAGGTTTAATAAATACGTTTCCATCTCTTTCAATTTAAACCTTTCTTATTTTTTTACTTTTCTTGAAATTTTTCTTACTTTTTCTCCCATTTTCTTGAAATATTTAGGAACTCCATGGACAGAGGATGAACATAGATTGTTCCTCGCGGGACTGAATAAAGTTGGAAAAGGTGACTGGAGAGGGATCTCAAGAAACTACGTGAAGACTCGAACTCCGACTCAGGTGGCCAGTCATGCTCAGAAATACTTTCTCCGGCGGGCTAATCAGGGTCGTCGCCGTCGTAGATCTAGCCTCTTCGATATCACTCCCGATGCGGTAAAAAAAATCATTCTCAAAATCTTGAATTTATAAAAGAAATCAGAAACTGACATATACGGTTCGGTTTGTTATCAGTTTATAGGATCTATACAAGAAGAGACACAAATGCAAACACCACTTGAAGGGATACCTCTAGGATCTAGACAAAACCGTCATGTTCCTGTTCCGATTCCGATTCCACCATCAAGAAAAATGGCTGGTCTCAATCTCAGCAAGAAAGCTCCGGCAGCGAGGACAACGTTGTCGTTGAATCTTTCGTCGTCGTCGTCATCATCCAATGAGCAGAAGGCACGTGGCGGATCATCACGTGCTTCGGGGTTCGAGGCGATGTCGAGCAATGGAGATAGTATAATGGGAGTGGCTTGATTGATGAATGAAGATAATGTATTAATTTATTTATAATTTATATACTATATATATATATATATAATTAAGATAAAAAAAAAAAAGTATAATGATAATGATGGTGATTAATGTCGAATTTGAGAGAGAAATTTACATTAGGCTAATTAGAATCAGACTCAGGTGAGTTTTTAAGATTTAATTAGTTATTGTGTACAGATTTTTTTTTATGCCCTTTTGGGAGAAAGGGAGAAAGAAAGAAACAACTTGTTCGTTTTTGTTTTGTTTCGTTGTTTAAGATTTTGTATGGATGATGTGGTAAAACAACAAAGTTAGTCTCTGTGTTGTTATGGTCAAAACTCAAAAGACTTTAAATCAAGTTTCAGAGCTAAAGACTGTTTCAAAGCTTAACGAAACTTAATTGTGTCGCTTGAATAGAAGAATTGGTTTATTGATTGGGGTTAAGGTTAAGTGAATCTGAAATGCTTTTCTTATCTTATCTTTTTGTAAGACTTTTTCCAATAGTTTGCCGTTTTTTTCGGGTTGTGTGTGTGTGTTGATATAATGTCACATTCATGGAACCAAACACAGTTATATTACTATACTAGTAACAGTACACATTTTGTTTTTTATGCTGGACGTCATTTTATTTTTATACTAGTTTTATACAGAGCCTTTTATATATTCACAAGAGTTAAAAGTATATATTTTGTTAGGATGTCTAATATCAGAAGTTGTAGATAAATAAATAAAATTATTTAGGATACACAAAATATTATATAACGTACATGACTTTTTTATAGTAATTGTCATTTTTGTTAATTTGTTTTTAAGTTGACAGGCTAGAATTAGTATAAGAAGATGTTTTAATATCTTTAGCTGACTACACAAACTAAAAAAAATATATCTATACTATTAATTGGGAAGGACAACTTGAAGCCAAACACCCCCTAATTGAAAAAAAAAATTTCATGAAATATATTCCATTTGCCAAACAGAATTATTGACAGCAAAAAAAAACAAAAAAACAAAAACAATCTATATTTATGGAAATCATAATAATCTTTTACCATAAAAAGTGTACAATTAAATTCAAAATTAAATATATGTAAATCTATTTTGAATATACATAAACATATTTAATATTAATTTAATATTTTAATATAATTTCGAAATTAATAGTATAGATATAAAATCAAATCTAATAAAACAAAATCATCATATATCTAAAAAACAAAGATAATATTTTTTAGATTAATAAAAAGATAAAAAAATATGTTAGCA